AGATAGATAGATAGATAGATAGATAGATAGATAGATAGATAGATAGATAGATAGATAGATAGATAGATAGATAGATAGATAGATAGATAGATAGATATAGATAATACTCTTTACTTTATATGTATAAACAGCGTGGGATAAAGTTTCATTGTTATGCTGATGATATCAGCAGTTATAAACAGGCGCAACAGAGCAGTTATATTTGTCCATTAAACCCAATGAATCCCATCAGCTTCTTAGACTACAAGCATGTCTTAAAGACATAAAAACCTGGATGACGCTAAATTTTCTGCTTTTAAACTCAGACAAAACAGAAGTTTTGGTTTTTGGACCTGAGCACCTTAGGAATAAGTTTTTCAGTCTTCCGCCCTCCTTGGATGGCATTAATCTGGCCTCCAGCTCTAATGTTAAAATGTTGGTGTTATTTTTGATCAGGACATGTCTTTCATCAACCACATTAAAAAACTTACTAGAACCACCTTCTTCCAGCTGCGTGATGTCGCTAAAATTAGAAACATCTTATCTAAAAATGATGTAGAAAAACTGGTTCATGCATTTGTCACGTCTAGACTGAACTATTGCAATGGTTTATTATCTGGGTGTCCAAATACTTCTTTAAAACGTCTTCAGTTGATCCCAAATGCTGCTGCCAGAGTCTGAACTGAAGTTAGTGGGAGAAATCATCTCTCTTAAGTTTTATCTTCTCTCCATTGACTCCCTGTCAAATTCAGAACTGAATTCAAAATCTTACTTCTAACCTACAAAGCTCTCAACAACCTAGCTCCATCATATATTTGAGATCTTATTGTTCCATATTTTCCTAACAGAGCACTTCACTCTCAGACTGCAGGCTTATTTGTGGTTCCTAGAGTTTCCAAAAGCAGAATGGGAGGAAGATCTTTCAGTTATCAGGCTCCTCTCTTGTGGAACCAACTTCCAGTTTCTGTCTGTGAATTTGACACATTGTCCAGTTTTAAAACTACGCTCAAGTCTTTAATTTTTGATAAATCCTGGGTCAGCTTGGGTTTCCTGAGATATCCATGAGTTATGCTTCTATAGGCTTACACTGCTGGAGGACAAATTAACCATATTTCCTCACTTTACACCTGGACCTGTCATTCTGTGTTCGTTTGTTTCTCCTTCCTGTTCCTCTCAAACCAGCCGGTCAAAGCAGATGGCTGCTCGTCCTGAACCTGGTTCTGATGGAGGTTTCTTCCTGTTAAAAAGGAGTTTTTCCTTTCCACTCTTGCTGATGTGCTTGCTCAGGATGGGAGACTGATGAAGGGAAGATTTGATGCTATCTGATGTCTTCCTTAGATAAATAACTTTTACTAATTGGCCTTTTAATGTATATAAATGTTTTTAGCGCCTTAGTCGCAACAGAAGTTGTGTGTATGTGTATTTTATAATATATTTTTTGATGAAAAAACATATATGCATGTGTGTTTGCATGTGTTTAATTTAACATACTTATATACTGGTATATACAATCTACTTTGAGATTTGCTGAAACATATGTACTGTTTGTTCTTTCATGTTACAGACAATTCAAAAGGAGACCATGGACATAAAGAACAAAGAATTAAGGTAATTTACAGAAAACATGTTGATAATATAGGTTTGCCAAGACTGATATATGAGCAATAATAGTTTTATTCACCTTCTATATATATTTTTTCTATTTTCCCTGCTGTATTTCAGATGGTTACAGTACGACGTATTCTAACTGCCGTCTCGGTGATCTTCCTGGTTGGAACTACAGCTTTTTCTGTGGCTATTATTGCTGGACTATTTATGATTCAGAAAAGCTAGATATGAAAAACTTAAAGAGTATTTTCAAACTGTTTCTCTTGTAAAAACAAAATCAAATTGTTGCTGATAGTTTCTTCACATGAAGAGCATCTTTGACACGTACTGTGCTTGTTTGCACATTACATAGCTGTGCTTTCACTGCACAAAGGAACTTGGAAGGTAAATTCAGAAAGCACGCCGCTTTCTGACGCCTGTTTTATTGTCAGAAATATATCAGAGCTAAAATATTTAAGAGGATCATCAAAGTTTAAACTTGTAACTGTGTAATGTGCATCTTAAACTTTAATAAACATAAGTTTATCTTTAGCAATAATTAGCTTGCAAAGGATGTTCAGCAAACAGATCAACTTTAGTCAGATCTGTGTAGTTCTTTTTTAAACACTTGTGTTACTTGTATATAAAAATAACCATGTTGTATTTTATACTTAGATATTCTTTCATTCGTTTGTGTGGTTGATCTTTATCCAGATTAACAAACGACTGAACTTGGTCCAACTTCCTTGTTTTACAAAAGCATGTGGAAACTTCAGACTCTGTGGTTTGATTTCAAATGCACTTCCTGTCTAAAGTGGACAAGTTATAAAGCCACAATCATAAAACAAACTTCTGTCATAAACGATCAGTGTGTGTGCGAGGCACGTCGAGTAAATGATCCATCTGGTGGTCGGTTAGAAAGTTTCATCTTCCTGGTTTCAGAGTTTAGCAGTTTTCTTTGTGCAACCTTTCAAAAACAAGTCTAATACTTGTTCAACAATGTTCAGTCAGGTCATCTGGATTATTTTTTTCTGAGACGTTTCATCCTTCATCCAAAGGACTTATTCAGTCAGAGGAGCCACCAAAACAAACTGATTCCCACAAACAGCACACTCCACAGTGGAAAACAACCAGTTTGTTGGTGCTAAGATGGTCTCCGGGGTCCGCCCTCTCCCCGTCAACTCATGCCAAAGTGGTTCAAAACACCAAAGGTGAACCTCAAAGTCAGATTGAAGAAGTCCTTTGGATGAAATGTCTCAGCAAAAAAAAAAAAAAAAAAAAAAACCTGTCCAGATGACCTGAACATTGTTGGATTTTTACCTGGATTATTGAGCAGAACTTTGGAGTAATATTTGTTGCAATAAAACCGTTTACTTCCAGTCGAGTGTTTCATTTGGTCCGATGCCGTTTTTGATTCTAAAAACCAGCTGTGGAAAAAAAAAAGTATCAAAATAAACTTTAATGGGAAAGATTCACATGTAACACAAAGAAACAGTTTTAACAGGAATGAATGCACACGGGATAGAAAACAAACTAAATTAACCGCTGGGTGTTTCTCAGACAGATCTATAAGTAACCATGTTGGAGTTTTACCATCAAAAACTGAACAAAATTAAATGATTTATGAATCAGCAACAAACCAGTACTTCATGTTTTTGTGTTTAAGGCACATTTTGTGTCCGACATCCATCCATCATCTTTACCCTCAGACATATTCAGTCAAAATTCTTAAAATTGTATTACTTTATGAAAACCTGAATATATTTAAATGCAAAATATTCTCAGTTTATTTAGCTGTTTTTTAACAACAAATGCAAAAATCAGACCTTTTAATATTCATCTATACAGCTATTAAAAATATCCCTGTGTAAGAAACAAGTCACCAAAATACATTTTAGGAAAAATACAAAATTGTACAATATTTATCTCAGTAAAAGCCAACATTTTGCATAAAATAAACACGTGAAACAAAAACAGACATTTTCAGTGGCGTCCTAGTTCAAAGTAAAACACATTAATATGTTGTGAGACCATGAGCAGTCACAGGGAATTAACACACGACTTAAAACATCCGTCCATTATCTTTACCCGCTTCTTCCATTTTGGGTCACGGGGGTCGCCGGTGTCCATGTCCAGCCATCACTGTGCGAGGGGCGGGGTACACCGTGGACGGGTCGCAAGTCCATCACAGGGACACAGAGACACAAACCAAAAACAGCCACAGAAAATAATGACATATGAAGAGTAAGACATAAAAACAGCATTTAAACAGAAAACGCAGAACAAAAATTAATAAGAGTAAATGGAAACTCTGGCTTAGGCAAAAAACAACAACAACAACAAAAATGGTAGATGTCAACAAATTATACAAGTTAATTAACGTTACACTTTTATGGGTTTTTTTTTTTGTTCACGTAAAAAC